AAATTAATTGTTAACTATCAATGACAGCAAATAAAATGATATAACAAAAATATAAATTATGAAATTTCTTAGAGAGAGCTATTTAAAGTAGTTTAATATCAGTGAATGAGATTAAAATATTAAGTTGAAAAAAAAAAATATTTCCAAATAGAAGCATTCGGAGGAGAAAAATGTTAGAAAATATTTTCCAAAGACTAAAAAATATAATTATAGAAATTAAAAGGACATACATTAATTTAAGATAATAGCAGATTATTATAGATTTTTAAGATACATTTTATCTTATAAATCAATATTTATCTTTCTTGGCTGATATTGAAAAATGGTAACAACAGACCTTCAATTAATGATATCTATTATTATTTCTATGTATGTTCATGATTAAAAAATTATAATTCATCAATTATTCAATAATGCTTTTCATTTTTCCTTTACTGTAATAACTATGGGTGATAAATATTTTTCAGTCCTTAATTACAAAAAGTTAGTTTAAATGCATGATTTAGAGTTATTCTCTTTAATGATGCAACTTTTATCGAAAATAACGTTCTTAAATTAATTGTGGCACTATATTTCCAACATATAAAAAGGTTTTCTCTTCTTCTTCAAATGGAGTATGGTTGCGTCCAGTGCATCATTGATTTCAATGAATATGATCTTAAAGAAAAATAAGAAAGAAGGTTTAAATTAGAAATAAATGAGAATTCCAATTAATTTAATTTTATAATACTAATTAATTTAAATTAAGAACCCTCTGAATGAATATACACAAATATAGTCTTCTTTTTTAGCTTAATTCTTAAAATAATATTTTCTAATTTATTAATATAAAAATTATATTTAATGTCGTTTTGGTTTTTGGTGGACTTTACAGTTATTAAATCATCTTAAAAGAATTATTTATATTTATATAAATATTAAGATCAGAAATATTATAATTCCATATTAAAAACTCAACGGCAACAAATGTTTAGTAATAATTGCAAAAACAACTGAATTATGTCTCTTGAATAAAACAAAGAACATTAACCCGAGTTGTAATTCATCATCTAAATATACGCAAATATATTTTCTTTTTTGAGTGATCCTCTATTAATTAATTAGATATTAGTTATTCATTTATTTGATATTGCCTCTAGTAATAAGAATTCAACAAAATATGAAAAAAACATCAAATGCTTGAAAACTTGACTGAAAAAATCCAAAATATATTTCTATTAGGCTTTTCAAATGTTATAAATGTGAAATATTTATTTTTTTTCATTTGAACTTTGATATTAAGCCAGGTGAGGAATCCCTAAATTTTATTAAGTATTTTATAAAAAAAATTTGGATAAATCTCAAAAATGAGCAATAACAGTTAAAAAGAAAAAAAGAATGTTGGTGCTTTAGGCATATGCTAGGTACAATTATTTAGTGGAATCGTTTTTAGGAGTTTAAAATTACTTATAGTACTGAAGAAGCATTATTAGGAATAAATAATGCTTTGAATCTTCATCCTAAATTTTCCTAAACCTATACTTTAAGAGGTTCAATGTTTTATATATCAATTTAAGTTAATTATACGAAAAAAATGAAATTATATAATGAGATATTGGAAGATGTAAATTAAGCATATCCATAAAATAATAATGCTGAAAGTTATTATTAAAGATGTATTTATTAAATCTTATAACTTAAGCAACAATTTATTGGAGAAAATAATTATTTGATCAATCATTATAAGATTGAAAGAAATGTGTAGAGATTAATAAAGACTTTTCAATGGGCTATTGTAGAATGGGTCTTATAATAATCATAAATCTTTAGGCACTATTTTGAGTGAAATGAAAGAAAAGGTTAATGAACTAAAATATTACCATTAAGCTATAGAAAAAGATGGGAATCTTTATTTTGCATTTATGTGTAGAGGTTACATAAAAATTATACTATAAGGCTATATGCATGAAAAAATGACTAATTAAGCGATAAGAGATTTCAAATAAGCAATTGAAATTAATCCTAAATGAAATTTGACTTATATTAACAAAGGTTATAACTATTCCACTTAAGAAATTAGGCAATATCAATAAAGATATTAGTGAGAAATACAAAGCATTAAATGACTATAATCAAGCAATCCAACTTAATCCGAAAGATTAAAAGGTATACAAATAGAGGTAAATACTCTATGAAGATTATAGGTATAACTTTAGATGATTAGAAATAATATGAACAAGCAATATTCTGCTATAATATTTGGATTCTACTTGCTCCAAATTAAGTTTATACCTATTTCAAGAAAAGTTTTATTTTAAATATCATTAAGCAATTTCATTACAAAATTTGAACCAAATCTCTTGAGCCATAAAATTTTTAAAAATAGTAATATCGTTAAACCATCATAATTAAATTTAAATTTAAAAAGTTAGCTAACTTAGAACAGTATAATGATAATAAGCTTAAAAGAGATTTGTTTAATATTATATTATTANTTTTTAGGAGTTTAAAATTACTTATAGTACTGAAGAAGCATTATTAGGAATAAATAATGCTTTGAATCTTCATCCTAAATTTTCCTAAACCTATACTTTAAGAGGTTCAATGTTTTATATATCAATTTAAGTTAATTATACGAAAAAAATGAAATTATATAATGAGATATTGGAAGATGTAAATTAAGCATATCCATAAAATAATAATGCTGAAAGTTATTATTAAAGATGTATTTATTAAATCTTATAACTTAAGCAACAATTTATTGGAGAAAATAATTATTTGATCAATCATTATAAGATTGAAAGAAATGTGTAGAGATTAATAAAGACTTTTCAATGGGCTATTGTAGAATGGGTCTTATAATAATCATAAATCTTTAGGCACTATTTTGAGTGAAATGAAAGAAAAGGTTAATGAACTAAAATATTACCATTAAGCTATAGAAAAAGATGGGAATCTTTATTTTGCATTTATGTGTAGAGGTTACATAAAAATTATACTATAAGGCTATATGCATGAAAAAATGACTAATTAAGCGATAAGAGATTTCAAATAAGCAATTGAAATTAATCCTAAATGAAATTTGACTTATATTAACAAAGGTTATAACTATTCCACTTAAGAAATTAGGCAATATCAATAAAGATATTAGTGAGAAATACAAAGCATTAAATGACTATAATCAAGCAATCCAACTTAATCCGAAAGATTAAAAGGTATACAAATAGAGGTAAATACTCTATGAAGATTATAGGTATAACTTTAGATGATTAGAAATAATATGAACAAGCAATATTCTGCTATAATATTTGGATTCTACTTGCTCCAAATTAAGTTTATACCTATTTCAAGAAAAGTTTACAAAATTTGAACCAAATCTCTTGAGCCATAAAATTTTTAAAAATAGTAATATCGTTAAACCATCATAATTAAATTTAAATTTAAAAAGTTAGCTAACTTAGAACAGTATAATGATAATAAGCTTAAAAGAGATATGTTTAATATTATATTATTATTTAAAAAAACAATCTAAAGAAAAACAAACTTTTCCTATTTTTAAATTTAGAATTATTAAATTTTATTTAAAGGTAACTTATATTTTTTTTGCAAAATCTCCAATAATTTCTCAAAATTATAAATGCAATTCATTTTTTGATGAATCGCTTAGTTTTATCAGTAAAAAACTTATTATAGTAAACTAATATTTATTTTGGCTAACATTTAAACATATACTCTTCATTTTGATTACTTAATAATTTAATTCATAGTCATATGTTTGGTTTTCATTAAATAGATTTACATTAAAGGTTATGAAAATTTCTAACCTATTTGATTAAATTCTAAGTGATTAATGAACATAAGAATTAAATTATATTTTAGGTAATGTTTCATATAATCTATATAGGTATTCATAAGTGAAAATAAATTTAATAATTTCCAAAATATTACCAACTTCTTCATATTATTTGATTAGATGCAAAAATATTCTCAGAAGATAAAAAAGCGACAAACACATCAAGAGTAGATGAAATATGATGATAAATCTTTTAAAAGCTTTGCAAACCTTTGCATATATTGTTAAAATATTTTCACAGTCTTGTAAAATGTTTATAATGAGACAAATTATGAAATTTTCTTTAGCATGTTTACCTTTGGTGCAATTTTTTTATTTTTATGAATTTTTTAATGGTTTTTATCAAGATGGATTAGATATGTCATATGATTAAAATTGTTTAACTTGTAATGAAATTATCTGAAAAATTTGTAACTTGTAGATCTAACTCTGAAATTAACCGTGGGTATTTTTGAAGTTGGATACTATGGAGAATAGAACTAAGGTTATAAGTCAGAATATTTCTATACAACAGATATGGTTATAAAATTTGTACTTTTATAGTTAGTAGTAACTGATGTATTTTATTTTCTTGTCTATTCTAAAATAACTAAAAATTATAATTTAGTTAAACATTAAAAAAAATTTTCCCATAATAAGATCAAATTTGCAATTAGATAAGAATTCTTATATTAATTGTATTCAGGGTACTTTTGAACGCATTTGTTCTTAATGTTATTAATCTTGTATAACTTGTGTGATCATTAAAGATCTTAGTGTGCTTAAAACTATTTTTAAAGTGAATGTGGAGTTTGGAAATCATGTTTGGATTATTTGTGAAACTTAGATCATCAAATATTAAGATTTTAGAGATTATGCTTGTTTTTATTGTGATAACTATTCTTGATCTCATTAAATTTTTCAACTTAAATGCCAACTGAATTCTTTGACAGATTAAACTTAATGAAATGTATTGATTAAGCCAAATATTGTAAATTTCCAAAAAAAATCTTAAATGTTAACTTTGTGAATCAGGGTAATATGCAGAAAGATGAAAAGGAATTGTTCAAATATATCCGAAAAAAAAAATTCAGGAAGAGCAATATGATCTTGGAAATTTGTTAATGGTGGTTGGAATGATTATAAAAATTAGTTAATAAATGAATTTAACTAATCTGAATTAACTTTGATGATCGATATCATTTTTTTTAGGAGGCCACAAGACGAAAAATTATTAATCAAGTTATTAAATAACTCACTCATTTATTCAATCGAAGGTTACTCTTAGATAGAAGCAGAGATCTCTTGTCTTATACCAAAAATGATCTACATAGATGATATTATTATAGCTTAAGAGGAATTAGTAACAAAAGAGTAATACTTTTATAATCTACTTTATTTGAGTTTCGATTTTATTAGAAGGGGTTGAAGTTTTTTGATAATTTATTAGATGATAGAAAAGATGATTAATTAAACTAATACTTTAAAACCTAACTTCCATATAATTTATAAACCTACTTTGAACTTTTTGGATTTGCTTATTTAAATTTTATCTAAAAGATTGTTGATTACTCAAAGTATATTGATCAAATACAGAATAAACAAAAATTAAAGAAGATATCCACTAAAGTAACAAATGATTACCTAACACCTTATTTATTATGTAATTTAACAACAAATATTATAGTTTGGATTCTATTTTGGCATCAATTCAATAGCAAAATTATTTTAAATTAGACAAAAATGATTAATCATATTCTAAGCTGCACCTTAAATTGTTATATTTGATTAAATATCAGTTTTATACTGAATTTGAAACCGAAAACTCTTGGATAGTTAAACCTGGAATATTGTAAATAAATCTCCATAATAAATAATCTAATTATCAATTATAAATTTTTTTAAATATTAATTTTATAGATTATGCTTATTGTTATTTCAAAATTCTTCTATAGTGAAATCTAAGTGCTCATTTGGCTACTTCATATGATTTTACTTTCAGTTTAGTACTATAAATGTATGCCTTATAACTTAACTAAAAAAATATTGTGTTGCAATTGCAATACATGTTTTAGCATATATTTTGAAATTAAACGATCCTAAATGAAGAAATATGCTCTATATAATAAGGCTATATAAACTAAGTATGGATCTACTTTTGATAAAATTATCATTCTTGAATTGTCAAAATATCATAATACTATTCTTCTAATAAAAAAAATTATCTTTATATTTATTATTAATTTTCACAAAAGGAGTTTACAATTTTTCTAATGGTCAGCATTACACATCTTTCATTTTCTATGTTTTTTTTCATCCTTTAGAAGATAAATTGGAGTATTTTTTAGAGAAGTTAAGTTTTAGTACTTTCTTAACTTAATTAATTAAATTCAATTGAAGTTAAAATAGCATCTCTTTATATTATTGAGTTTTTAAATTCTTATTTGTGATTTTGATCATTTCGATAAGATTAAATAATATTTTGGATGGTGTTGGGACATATGTATTATTATGTATTAAATTAGGGATTGATGGTTTTAATAATGGAAGTTTTTTTTTTTCAAGTTTAAGAAAATTAAAAGACTTGCTTTATCAATAATTGGAGTATTTTGAAAAAAAAACAAGTTCCTGACCCATCTAGTATTTTCTATTGATAAATAAGATTTCAAGCATTTGTGAAGTCTTAATTGATATTAACAATAATTCATAATAAAAATTGAATAAAAATTATTATATATAATATAAATAATATATCTATTAATTTCTTCATGATTGTTTTATTTATTTTCATATTGATCAAATTATAACTAAGAATCATAGTAATCTATCTATCTAGTTATGAAATTAAATAATTAAGTTGATTGCCTTATATTTCATCTCAAGATATATTTGCTTCATTTTACCACATTATTTTTCAACAATTAACCAATAATGCTAACAAAGATTTTCCAAAGTTTTAATAAATAATATATAAATATTATTAATAACCTAAATTATGCATAGATAAGCCTATACTATAAGTTATTCTATAATTACTATAACTGTTGTGTTTTCATTTATTTCCTTACTCTCAAAAATGATCTAGCCTCAACCATTGATCAACCTAATCCCAAAACGAATTTATAGAACCTATTAAAAATCCTGATCTTTAGTTAATATGGAGAAAATAATTTCAAAAGGTTTAAAAGGATATGACAAAATAATTAATTTTGGCATTTCTTTTGTGCAGCAGTAAGCTAATAAAGTATATTTAGCTTCGTTCTTTACTAAATAATGCTATTTTGTATTATTTAATAACAAGTGTATATAGTTTGGCTTTAGTAACAAGAAAGGCTATTTTGTTTTTAAAATTATTGCCATCTATGCTTTGAATTTTTCTTAAAAAATCATGAAAATTTAAGATATTATGATAGATATTTATTAAATAAACAAGGTAAAAGATTATTTTTTGATTTATTTTAAATAATAGGATAAACTTTTCGATTCTTAAAAGGGATTGAATAATATATCTGCATTTAGGAGTGTTTAGGGAATTTTATTCTAATTTAGATCATTTAAGCAAATGACTTTTTTTTTTTGATCTTTTAAAAATAAATTATTGTGTTCCTTTCTTTTGGAAATGTTTTAATACTTATTTTTATTTTAAAAGCTATTACATCCTCTTTAAAATTTTATAGAATCAATATGAATGAATTTTCATATCCATTATTTCTTCTATTGTCCATCCATTTTATTAATGAGTTTGCTTTAAATTTTATTATTATTCTTATAAATTAATCATAACTTTAAGCAGATCTAATATTCAAACAAGAAGCTTTATTAAAGATCATTTTTACACTAATTTGATTAAAACTATAAAATAAATAAATTTATGATATATATTTATTTTAAACATTATTTCTAATTATTACAAGAATACAGATAGAATTTAAAATATATTAATTTATTGAAAATGAAGCATTAAATGTCTATGCATTTAATTCTTATAACATTATTAAATGTAGTTTCAAATTTAAACTGCAATTCCCATATACATGAATTATGGCTAAAATCAAATTTTAGAGGGCATTATAAAGATGTAGCATCTTAATTTAATAGGGCAATTCTTTCAAATGTCAGATAGATTTCAATCTATGGAAGCACTGTAAATATTGGTCCATTAAAAGATTCTATTTATATAAATGGTTAATATCCACATTATTATACGTATAGTTCGATGGATGTTTAATTTGCACAAATTTAAGAGATTAATCGAATAAAAATTTGATTTTATGATTTAGACAGTAGAATACATAACTTTAAAATAATTGCAATTGATTAAGATAATATTGAAAAGGAATTGTATTCAGGGTATTATTAAAAAGGTGTGGTCACAATTAACTTTGAAAATCATTTAACTAAAAAGATTAAAATAATTAATTTGCCAGGCAGTACACATCATGATTTAGCTATAATAAAAATCTAAGCTTTCTTTGTATTCAAAAGCTTACCTTGAGAATTTGGAAGGATTGATTTTTATATATTAAATATTTGAATAATTAACAATTTTTATTCTATTGACACCAATTTATTTCTTTATTTTTATTATTAAGCCTTAATAATATCGGTAATTATTGTTCTTAATTATTTTATTAAGAAAAATTTGACTCAGATTACGATGTAAACAGCTTTTAAAATATCATTCTAAATAAAATTTCAATTAAGGTTAGTTTTTTTTGAAAATATTTTTATTTGTTTTAATAATAAAAATAAAAATATATCTTTTATATTAAGAAATATTATATCAGTATCTCAAAGTCTAGCTTTATTCATGTTAAGCACATCAATAATTCATTTTCCTAGGGATTGAAAGATAAAGTAAGGATTATCAATTAAATGATGACAATATTCTAAGAAATTCAATTTATATTCAAAGATTTATATTAATTATTAAAAGTAAAATAATCTAAATTAAAGATCAATAATTTATTTATTAGTAGACGTATGCATAATTGATTTTGTAATGTGACTTAAAGTTGTTAATTTATCACTTATATTTTGTGGTAAAAAGTCTAAAATTTTAGCATCTCACAACTTTTAGGATTTTCAATGTTCAAATTTTGAATAAAATTGGAAAATATAAATCTTCTTTTCTGAATTCTTAAAGATTTTTGCTATTAATTTCAATTCTACTAATTGATTGATCGGAAAGAAAGAAAAAAAATTCCAAGTTCTATAATTTCATTAGAGATAAACCATTATTATTGTATGTTGGATTTTATTTTGCATTTAAATAACTTGCATAATCCATATTATTTTTATTGCTACTATAAAATTTAGAATGATTATTTTGCATTAAAATTTTAAACACATTTTATGTCAGTTATTGAAGTATAAATTATTCAAGATTATATTTTATTTTACAAAATAACCTTTCTATTTAACAAAAGCACACGGATGAATTGCAAAGTTCTTGGTATAATTTTTATGATAAAAGGAAAATAATGTTCTCATTAATTCTAAAAATGTTGGAACACTTCATAATCACTTGCTATTCTTGATTACCATTAAAAATTAAGTTACTAAGTTTATTTTGGAGCAAAATTAACATCATAAGGATTTTTTATTGAATACATATTTATATTTATTGGATATATATTAATGAAGTTTATTTTATTTTAAAAGGAATAATAGTAAGAATTCATTATTAGAATAAAAACCAGATGTTTACTTTGAATAAGATTTATCCAATATTTATAAAAAAAATATAATAACCAATTTGGTATTTTTCATGAAAGAATAAACATAAATAATGTTAATTTAATTTACCTCTTTTAATCTAAAATTTTCTAAAATGAATATTAAGATACATAATAAATATATAAAATGATATTGATTCAAATATTATTTCAATTTCTTTTTTTCTAATTTTCAATATTTTAGCCAATTCACATTTAGAATTCTGATTTCGAGATCTATTCAAATAAATGATTTCAGAGATTTAATAACATAATTCTAGCAATATTCTGTTGTAACCCATCATCAAATTAAGTAAATTTACCAAATAATGTAATCAAGCTTTTAAAAAATAATAGGAGATGGATTGAATTTACTAAATGACTTTTTATGATTAATCAAAATATTTTCCAATCATATCCATACTGAATGCAAGATAAAATAATTCACCTTTGTTTCTCAACCTATATCAACAAAAAGAATAGGCAAGAAAATTAAATAAAATTCAGAATTCACAATCATATTATATAGATTTTCGCATACCATATTAATATATGATTATAAAGATTGATATTTTATTTATAATCATATTTTTAAGTATTATATCACTCATTATTAAATTCATATTAATCTTTAAATAAAATGATTATTTAAAATTGAAAAAATTCAAAAAAGAAATACTATTACAAATAAGTTCTAAACTAATAATAATCGAAAACTATCAATTGTAGGGTGAATTTAGACCTGGAAGATGTAAAAAATAGGAAATTTCTGAAGATTATTTCTATATAAGGTAGTAGGAGAAATTCAAAGCTGAAAGCTCAAAGGATAGGTATTCTTTGTATTCATCCTCTCAGATTCAGTGAAGAAATAGAAAGAAATTTAATAAGTACATATTCACTAAAATCAACCTTACTTCATTTATTTTACATCAGACAAGAAAAGAATATTTTTAATTATAAACTACTAATTAAATGAATATGCAGATAATTTAGAATTAAAATAGCGGTTTTTAAGATTTAGGATAAAGTTATTAATTAATTGAATAAAGATAAAATAAGAAAAAAAATTTAATATCATTAGATATTTAGCAATTTATGTTATGTTTAATTTGAAAGAAATGAAGACGCTAATAGTTCCTAAAAGTATCTAATATCATTATCTATTTAAGTATAAAGTTAATTTAAATCTTTATCTGAAAGAATAAAGGAATCAATTTACATAAGAGGATATGTGCTTGCATTGGCTAAAGTGGAGCATATTTGAATAATTACTAATTTTGGAAATAGAATTACAACCAATTTTATTGCATTTTATATTTTATTTATTTATTCAATACTTAAGCTTAGTAGAAGATTATTGGATTCTATTTAGATGATGACTTTATTCAACAGAAATCAGTGACTCAAAGAGCTTAATATAAAAATGATAATAAATTTATTAGATTGGATACTGAGTATAAGGATGAAAGTAAAAAAGTATTCTCAACTATATATCAAGCGCAGATCGGTTAGTGAATTAATTTAGATAAAGGATTCAATATCTATATTAATATAATTCAAAATAAGGAATATATGGAGGTGAAAAATTTGTGTGTAGTTTTAAATGAAAAGAGAGAGGGGGTTCGAAATAACCAAAAGAACCATGATAATTGAAATAAAATATAAAAAAGATTATCTCTGCAAAATTTGATAGCATAAATAATCTGAATGACAAAGAATTGTAATTATTTCAATTTTTTATTGATAAAACGGAAAAGATTTCAGAGAGAGGTGATATTTTGAGTTTATAATTAACAAGATGTTTAAAGTATTTTAAGAGGAAAGTTTAAATAAAGCAGAATAAACTTAAAAATTCAATAAAGATTTACGGACCATAAAATCATCGATGAAATAAAAAGTATTGACCACATGTACCTCTTCATTTAAGTATTCAATGAATAATGTTATATTTCAAAGCTGGTCTATCAATATTTCCAAAGGATTCATAACGTCTAAATAGAAGCAATTGTTGCTGAAAACACCATAAGGTCTAGAAAAACATTATTGATCATTTTTATAGAAACTTACTCCATTTGTTGATCATTACCTTATATTTGAGCAATCCTTACTATAATCCAACTTTTGCGTATCCAAAAATGATTGACCCTTCTGAAAATTTCTTATATTTATCCTAAATCTTCAATTTACTATCTCAGATTATTAATTATTTTTGATCTATTCTATTATACTTTATTGAATTTCTTTTATCAATTAAAGATATATTCTAAAGCATTTATTTGGTTCCAAGTGATCAAAATCAAATAATTTTGGATTCAAATCTGAAAATCTCATAAAAATTCTTGAAAAACCATTTCAACAAAATTTAAAATAGTATTGCCTAAAAAAATAATTAGACATGCCAATTTATTAATTTTTATACTGATTCTTTAATATGGTAAATTAATATCTCCTTAAAGAATAATCAATTTATTAATAATCTCCGCTCTTTAAATCCTTCAATTCTTTTGTAGCTGAAAATTATTTAGCATCTTTCTTAGGGTTCAGGATTTCATTTGTTATTCCCTAAGATTTAAGAATATGTCTTTCAAAATTAACTTTTCTTTCTGTTTCAAGGGTTTTCTTTTGATCTGATTCAATAAGAATAAAAGAATAGATGAAATTAACAGCTAATTTGATGGTTTAAAAGTTTGATCTATTTATTTTTTGGTTACTTCTTCAAATATATATTCATGTTACTTTATTTTTAACATATTCATGATTTGCTTAAAGATATCTACAAGTCTTAATCTCTTCTTTTTCTTTAAATAAAAGAGATTTATTATAGTTGTCATCTAAAAATGGTCGAATAACATAGAATAGATAAAAATTGGATTTGTGAGGAAAAATTTGTATTTTTTTTATTTAAAGAAAAAGAAGAGATCAAAAAAGTGAATTATTTAATATAAAAATAATTCATCATATATCTGACCCTTTTTGCCCTCACATATTGAAGAGTAATATCATTTAATCATATGATTTCAATTTTTATAATTTATTAAACCTATATTTCAATTTTTGATATAAATTGCCTTTAATGAAAAGATAAAATTGAAATTAAATAATTATAATTAAAAGAATATTATATAAGAAGTTAAAAAATTAATTTTAAAACATATTAAACTGAAATCATAATGATTGATTTATTTAGTATCATAATTAATAACTCATTGTTCCTCATATTTTCTAATCTAATATTCTTTTGATTTGTCATCCCAAGTGATCAAATACTATCCATCATCAGTCAAACATCCAAATATCCCTCTAGTTCCAAACTCAATAGATTACTCAACTATATAATCACCATTTTGTTTCTTCCTTATTAAATTCACATTTGATGCATTCTTATTAATAAGTATGCATTTTTATTTTATATATTATTTAGGAAACAACCATAAATCCATACCCCCTTTCACTAGAATATCCTTCATCTTTGTATATTATTTATTCGTACTATTCATCTCAAAAACTTACATCTACTCTTTATAAAGTGGTTAGAATGTGAATGTATTATCATCGATAAAGCTTAATCGAAGTCCACATTATTCCAATATAATCTTTTGTATTACCATCCATTATTTATTCAATTATGATTATTCTATTACTAATATAAATCTATCTATTCCACAAGATATCAATTTATTTTATTATTCATTAAAACTTAATCCACCTACATATTAAGTATGATCAGTGATTGTCTAAGAACACAACCATTCATTTTATTTCTACCAGAATTTAATTGTCTTATCATTACTACCAGTTACAATAAGATCTTCATTATTATTTAATATCAAACAATAGATATCACTCGTATGTCCATTCAATTTCTATTAGCAAATCCATTAATTATTTTGATTTCTTGTCCATATTATAATTGTATTATCACCGCTCCCAGATATAAATTTATCCGATTTCTTCATAAAATTCAAAGTATAAACATTATTACTATGTTCACTTAAAATTGAAACTTATTTAAAGATTCCTTAATTAAACTCAAATACTTTAATTTAACAATTACATGTAGCTACCATAATTGAACAATTTTAATTAACTGCAATTGCTCTACACTCTTCATTTTATTAAATAGAATTATGTTTAATTAATTAATAAGTGAATGGTTTAAAATTTAATTATGTAGATATAAGTGTTGATGGTTATTGAATAATAGACTATGATTTTGTAAATTATTAAATCTGATTATCTTTTGATTAGATTATAGATTCAAATTTAATTTAAGTTTCTTTTATTTCTTATTCATATTATTTTTACTTCTTTTTCATTTGATTAAATGTATTATTTTAGATTAAAGAACTCATTTATTAACAGATTTATTTTGGTAAATTCTCATTTTACAAGTTATGCAAACAATTCAAATTTATTTTTGGTAAATCATATTATAATTAACATTCTATTATATTATTAGACTGATTATTAAGAAGCTCATCAAGTTAAGCATCGATATTAATAAATGACATCTATTCAAATATATTAATAACTATTTTTACCTCCACTGCATTTTACAAATTTTCTATACATTCATTTACTTTTCTTTGGTATTCTTATCTTAAGATTAACTCGGAGGCTGTTTGCATTTGAATTTTAGAAAATATATTTATATAACATTTCCTTTTTCTATTAGAATATGTATAAAGATCAAATATACATAAATAAAATATAATAAAAATAAAACTATACAATTAAATCATTTAATTATAAGCAATATTCTAACAACTATTAAAAAGAAGATAGGTAATAAGAAGGCACTGTATTTTTTTTCTTTCTTATTTAGTAAAAATTATTTGACTCGATATCTCAAAATAAAAATTTGGTAATCAACAAAGGCTGAAATACATGAATATGAATTTACTATTAGCAATTTCATTTCTGTTATCATAAAAACTCTTAGCATGCTTATCTTCTTAGAAAATCCAATTAATAAAATCAATAAGATTACTGAGAACCTTTTTTGCGATTTAATTATCTTTTAAGCATTCCTTTTATATAGAAACTTAAGGAAAAAACAGTATTCAAGAAATACTTTTATTTAAATAATGCAAATGCTATATTTATGATTACTGTTGAGAAAATCCAATTTGAATTCAACTTTAAAAGACAAATTAAATAAAATCGAAAAGCTCTGGGCAATCATTTTCCAAAACTATAGATTTGCTAAATGTCATAATTTAAAGAATAGGAATGATCTAATCACTTTTATTTCAAATCTTAAGGAAAATCAGAAATCTAAACTCTTAGAACAATTATCTCTACCAATTTTTCATAGTTTCCTTATCTTACCGAAAGAAAATGGGATATCTATTAAATTACATTATTTCATTTCTTAGCAAAAATAAGATATCTGATGTTAAAGATAGATTAATAAACTCAAAATATAAGAACTAGATTCCTAATAACCTAGGAATACTATTTTAGAAATAATGGAAATTTTTTCCACTCCATAATGTATAAGGATCTTTAGATCATATTGCGTCTTAACATTAAGAGATTTTAGCAGAAAAAGTAATTGATATAATTACAAGTAAAAAAAAGATAGCATAATGGTTTAAAAGATTTCTAGAGTTTGAAATTGAAAAATTATCAAATTTACAATTTGTTGATAAATTAAAATGATAGAGTATATGTTTCTCCTTAACAGGATTATAATAACAACAATAATGATAGTAATGATAATCATAATCATAATCATAATAATAATAATAAAGAAATATTTTTTTTTGGAATATATTTTATTGTTTTCTGTTCTTAATATTCAATTTGATTTAGAATAAATTATCTAAAAGAAAAAACTCTAAAAATATTATTTCTATTATGAACTTCAAGGCATCAAAAAGAATGTCATTTGTATGAATATCAAAATAAGATATGATGATATAATAAATGCAATTAAAATGCATTAAGCAAATTGGTAATATTACATCAATGTTAAAAGAAAATAAAAAGAGAAATTGGTAATCAAAATTACTATAATTATTCCTCAATAGCTTTTAAAAATCAATAGAAAGGTTTTTATCTATTTTTCGGATTTCAGTATTCGAAACCAAGAATAAGCTTACCTTAATTATTAAGTCTCAGCTATTACTAGATATATGAAAATAATTTGAATGAATTAATTTCAATTCATTAATCTCACCTAAAATTTAATTGAAGTTTTTTTAAACTTATTTGATTTAACTCTAGAAAATTCAATTAGTTTGTTAGTGGTTAAAAATAATCTAATTTGAGGACTGAAAATAGAGATGATCTAAAACAAAAAGTATATTTACTCCAATAACAATTAGAAAGATAGAATTAAGAATATTTTGAGTGATCGACAAAATTCTGATATAGTTTATTGGAACTCCTTTTCTATCATCTTTGATTATCAATAATCTCAATTATGAATTTCTATTACAATATCAGATCTAAAAATGATTAAATTACCAGATTAACTACAATTACATAGAAATTATAATTGACATTTTAAGATACTTCTAAATTCTAAGAATAGGAACAAAAATCAATATTATAGAGCAAAAAAACAAATTTTTCAGCCAAAATTGAAAGTGATTTCAGATAGTACATTGATTGTTTTACTATAATTAGAAGTTGCACAAAACTTTTCAATACAACTTTATTTATTAATATTCCAAAAGCATCTTTGGGATTAGCTCTTTAGATTTAAAAATTTTTAGTTAATATTATAGCTGCCAACCTAATTTTTAAGCATTTTAATCATTTTATATTTTTGTTGTTCTTGGAGCAGCTTAATCAATACACTATGAACCATTCCATTCGCATTTTCGTATGATTTTATTCCTTTATTCATTAATAATCTTATATTACAAGCAGATTTAATTGTGATAGCTTCACAATCTAAAGTGTAAAGGAACACATCCAAATCGAGGGTTACTCAAAGTACAACTAGAATTATATTTTGCAATTTCCATGTTGAATGGAAATTAAACGAACACACATTCTCTTTTTTTATGACATTTTTTTTCAAATACAAATTAAATCTATATCACAATTATATTTTACCAATGAATTTTCATGAGTTTTTCAAAAATTCTGTATTTGTAGAATTTGTACAAGTATTTAAGAAAGCTTAATATTGATCATTTATAGTGTTATGGTTGATTAATGTAAATAATTTTTAAGAAATAACTGATAATTCATTCATTAAATAATTACTAGAGTTGTGGGTACATTGAGACGTATTTTATCTTAACAGCTTTAACTTGCAGTATTTCCGAAATAAGTTTATACAGTAGAATTTATAATATAAGCAATATCTTAGGCTATAGCAGCACAGGTTGTATTTGTATCACAACAAAATACTTGTTTCAGTAATGCAATATAATTCAATGTTCAATTTTCTTGAAAGAAAATAATTGATTAATTTATGAAATAATTTATAAATCTTTTCTATTCATCTATATAATATCTCATATAATGAATATTTTTATATTTATTATCCCAATATACTAAGTATTATCTATTATTGGTTAGTGTTCCATTAGAATTTTCGGTTTAATGATTTAATGATGTTAAATGTGCCATCTTTTAATTGTCTAATCAAATAGATATGGTGCTTATGTCATAATTAGAAATAATGAATTATCTTTGCATTCATTATTCTTAATTAAAGTGAAAATTTTATTTGAATTCTATTTAAAGACTCCATTCTATGATTCAAATACTAAACTTGATTTATTTGCTAAACTTCCATTACACAAATAAGAACAATGAATTTCCTCTTCTTTTTCTTTATTAATAATTATTTTATTAAAAAAGTAATTTGAATTTCAATATAATATTAGTAGTTTAAATTCGCGCACTTCCCACCCGAATCCATAATATTCTATAAATATATAGTAAGTCTTAATAATATCATAATTGGAAATATAGACTGATGAAAGCTCAGTTTAGATATAGAATAAAAGTTCTTGAAGTTCAACTAATTTAGTAAGGATAACTTTGTAGGTTAGTTTTTATCAATCATATGGATTACAAAAACATAGCTAGAATCAAACCAGGCCAAATAACTAATCAGTGAAAACTTCAAAAAATACTTAATTTCTAATAGACTAGGTCATTCTTTGGCATAATTAATTCACATTTTCAAAATGATTAAATATTCTAATAGAACTCCTCCAGTTTAATTCGGTAGCAGATGACTAGTCTCGGTTCTAAAATATTAAAAAAGCATCTTAAAATTTTTTCACTTGAATATTTTATCTTATCTAAACTTATCCAAATTTATTCATCTATTAAATCTTTCTATTAACAGTTTATAACTAAACTGAGTTCATTATTTTTCCATTTTTAATAATTCTCTCACTTTAGTTATATTTCAATATCTTAGTTGAAAATATCTTTAAGAAAAATCCCTTAGAATCATTCAACTTTTAAATACTACCTAAGAATACACAATAAAAGAGGCATCACTTTTCATCAAATTAAATTTATGTAATTTCAAATGTGATTTAAATTCGACTTAAAATTTCATTAAAATATACTTTTGATTTTTCAAATGGCGATCAATTCCATTTTGCACAAAGATTATATTTTATCATTCGATTATTATACACTTTTTTTTGATATTAATAATTCTTTAATTTTTTTCCTCAATCAAAATATCCACATCTTAAAAAAGTTATTCTTTATTGTTCATCCTTAATAAACACTTAAATAATGTATAAGGAATCATAATTGACTCTCTTCGTTCATATTTCAAACTATTTATATTGTCTAAAATCTCTATAATTTTATTATTTTACTTTTTAAAACGATCATCTCTACCTTATCGACATAATATAGAAGGTTAGATAAATTAGAAAGCTTTGTTAAGAAAATTTCTCCCTATAAACACATCTTACATTATTTTTAATTCAATCCTTAAATTTGTAGCTCTCATTTCCTGATTTTTTCTAAGTATTCATTTAAAACTATTTATTTCAGAATCTATTAGTCAGTTTACTTTCCTCAGAAATCTTAACAGTTTATGATTTGCTTTTATAATCTTTGTTCTTTTTTTCAAATTTTGATTAATAATAATTTATTTTATCTTAATCAAAACTCCTATTTCTTGAATGATTTCATAATTCTTTTTTCTTTAATACTAGAATAAGAAGCCAGAATTTAAGGCAACATCATTTATAGATTATCCTTTAAGGAATTCAGAACATAAAAGCTAGTAAGAGAATAGTAAGAAAATGAATAGTATTCAAAGAATAGGAACATCATTGAATAGTAATTGAATTTAAAGTGAAGACATATATATTCTTTAGAGATATAAAATAAAAAAGAATACTTAAGTTTAAAATGTAAACTTGAAGATTATAGGACAAATTAATTAGAGAGATATCATTTGTTAGCGGAAGACCTTTGCATATTAGATTTCAAACACATCTATAAGAAGATTTAATTGCGAGAACAAAATGGTAGAAATTAAAACTAATTATAATTTTACTAGTCTATATTAACTTTATTCTCATTTTCCAAAAAATGGGAAATATATTCCTTTTTTATTCCTTTACCAACATAAACATAATTCTTAATCATTTTATATTTATTTCCTTTCATATTACTGATGAAAATCTTGAATTCATAATCAATCTTTTTAATATTTGCTCATCATCATGTTTCTCAATATATGGAATAGAGTAATTCATTCTTTGTCATAACCCTCATTTTGGTATTGCCATATCCATACACATCTTCAATATCTTCCCTTAATTTTATAATTAAGTCTCTCTCATTTTGATGAATTTATCATGTTCTTTCTTGTTAAATATAGGTATGAAATCAATTTAAAAAATGTATCACCATTGTTTGAACTTCAAGATAGACTTGTTATATATTCTACACAGTTTTTCTCTTTTTTATCCATTCAAAAAATCCATCGTTCTTCCTGTCCTCCCTATTCATCCTTTGAATAATATTATTTAAATTGGACCACTCATTACTTTCTCCAATAATGTCTGAACTGAGTGTTCAACAATAGATCTCGACAAAATATAAGCAGTTTCTAAAGTTGTTGAATCATATTGAACGTAAAAAAAACTGTATCGATACCTTTTTGAACTGTATCTTTTTAAAGACATTGAAAAGCCAAACATTACCTCAGAAGTTTAGTAAACAGTCATAGCTAAACAATAGATTTTATTGAAAAATCATATGGAAAGTACAATAATTGTCTAAAGTAAAATCATTGATACATTACTGTCTGAGATTAAAGAATTAAGATGGAAGATCTTAAATAGATTCTCTTTCAGAAGATTGGGCATTTCCTAAATAAGGAGAGATTAGATATTTATAGAGTGATCAAATTTTATAATTGATTCAAGGAAGATATTGAAGTAACCTACCTGATAATAATATTTTCAATAGAAAGATTTTAGATATGCAGTTAATAAATCAAAAAATATCTATTTGTCAACTAAATTAATATTCAAAACAAAATCTCATTTCATATCAAAAATTGTTTTAGAATATATTCTCGAAAAAAAGGCTGATTTATTTATAAAATATAACTAAAAAATTTTGAAATACATATTTCACCTCCAAATCTGTAAAATATTGTTCTGAAGTGTAAGCAACACATTTTTTTAAATATTTAAGGGGGAAAAACAATTAAATTTGATGTATCAAAGTTTTAACTTTTTTAGTTTTGAAGTGAAGAAATGGAACTGTCTATTAATAATTTTGAAATCATTGAGGGAAATAATAATTTTATAATCTATGTATATTTTAACAGTTGTTCTAGATGATAAGAATGTACTTAAATAAACTTTAAAATAACTTGATTAATTTAAAAAGTAATTTTTAGGTTTACCTTTTTTTTGTTGATATGTATTTTTTAGAAAAAATAAATAGGATTCTTAACCCACCATAACTCCATAAGGCTTGTTGTATTATAATTTAATCAGAAAATCAAATATGCATAAATAGAATAAAATAAGATGCAATATATTTGTTAGACAATAGAAATGAAATTAATATTTTTTTAAACATGTTTTCTTCATCATACATAACAGGAGATTTTTTTGAATAAAATGGATTTTATTAGAATGGAAGAAAAGCAGGTATTTGGAATGAAGTTGTGTATAAATACTTTTTTGAGTAAATTATTTTATGGATTAACATAGTGAAATCTAATTGGTCAAAACTGGGGTTTATTAATAAGATAAGAAAGTAGGTAGATGGAAATATCAATATGAAAATGTTAAGATGTAAGATGTTTTTAATTTTCAGTAATGGAGGATATTATGATAGTAAGGATGAAAGGTAAAATATGAAGATTGGTAAATGGGTTGATGTTGATGATGAATTCTAAAAAAAAAAATAAGTGATCTATAATGGTGAATATAAATTTGGTAAAAAAGTTGGTGTTTGGGATATTTTGTTTAGAATTGGATAAAATTATTCTCTATTTTTCAAAAATGAATAAGATGATCGTTTCAAATTAATGTAAAATATTTTATTAATAGTGCATTTATATCATATTATTAGAGGCGGAGGATTATATAATGAAGACAATGGTCTTAAGAATGGGAGATGGATTGATTTATATGAGAGATTTTCGTTTTATTCTTAAGTAACATATATTGGTTAATATAAAAATGGTAAAAAAGTTGGTAGATGGGATACATGGTTTATATTGATTCGAATAAATGGAAGTGCTTAAGAAAACAAATTAATGTAAAAATATTTTATAAATGCAATTTTTTGTGTGAATGTCAGTGGGGGTGGACTCTATGATGAAGGAGGTGAGGGCATTAAGATTGGGTAGTGGATTGAGTTGGATGAGAGATTTTCGTCTTCCTCTTAATTAACTCATGTAGGTTAATATGAAAATGGCAAAAAAATTGGTAGGTGGCAAATTTGGTATTAGAATCATAGTACAGGAATAAATAGTTTAATGTAAATAAATTAAATAAAACTACTAATACTTTAGCGGTGGTGGAAAATATAAAAAAGGAAACGAATGCATAAAAATTGGAAAGTGGATAGAGCCAGATGAATTTTTTAAATGGGATTCGTAAATCATTCATTGTGGGAAATATCGCAATGGTTTAAAAGTGGGTAGATGGGATATTTTTTATAATTATTGGGATCAAAATTAATTTGTTAAAATGTATATCTAATTAATATCAAAATTTTAGTGGAGGTGGATTATATGATGAAAATGGCCATGGTTTAAAATTTGGCTAATGGACTGAATTATGCAAACATTTTTTTGGGAACTGTAACTTGTAAAATTACAGAATATTCAAAGGAGTTTACATGTATAATAAAAAGATTGGTGTATGGGTGGAAATGGTACGTGAGAAAGAGAAAATGTAAGAAGGATTTAAAATAGTAAAAGAATAGCAATATGATGATTGAAAAAATTATAGTATTAAAATATATCATTTATATAATATTTATTTGTAAAAGGTATTATATTTTTTATAAAAATTCAAAATTTTTTTGTTTTAATTTTAGCCAAAATAATTTATTGATGTAATATATTTTTTCTTTATTTGTCAATACATATATTTTTTTAGTAAGCTTGCAATGCTCATTGTCAAATATTTTTTACTCCTATTTGATATTATATTACTTTTAATATCTATTATTAAAAACTTCTTTATTTAAATTGCTTAGTTTGTTTAATTGATGTAAAATTTTGTTATTTTCATTTTATTGTTAATTTTATATTTGCTTATTCTTTTAGATAATAATATTATCACTTTTAAATCTTAACTAAATTGTACCCTAAACTAATTCATATTAAATTTAGATATTGATTCAAAATTAACTATAAGAAAAAGGCTTAAAAATTTAAGTTAAGCTAAATTCAATATAAGTGTCAATTTTACAATCCTTCATATTTACACTTTGATAGAAAAGACCTTCAATATACATTTAACAAATAGATTGATAATAAGTTTTCAAGAAACACTTAAAAGAAGAAGTAATTACCAGTTCTTTAAATCTTCAAATTTCTTGAATGTGAGTTATTGAAGTATTTCTGTCAATCATTTTTATAGAACAAAGAGATTTAATTTTAGACGAAAGTCTGTTGTATCTGAAAAAAAAAATCTTCCCTTGGAAATTAAATAGGAGCAATTACGAGAAAGATCTTGAATTGATTTGATTATTCATTTAGCATTGTAATTTTTGTTATTTGAATTGCCAATATTTTGGCTATTTAATTTGTTTCTTAAAATAATTGGCTAAATTTACTCACACCTATAGGATTAAAGAAAAGAATCTGAATTATTTTGGCATTATTTAAGAAAGCATAGTCTAATTTTTATTTAGATTATAACTTAAAGGCCAATTATTGAGCAGATATTGTTGATACGCTCTTCTAAAGCAGGTAATATATCAATAAAAAATCTACTTTAAAATAACCAGCTTGACCCTGTTTGATAAAAAAATTATTTAAACTATTTTTGACATATATTCTGAAATCTTAGCTAATTTAAAGAATTCACACTCTTCAATGGATAAAAACACATAAACTCATTATCTTGTTTTTTTTTATTCTCTCTAAATTTCTTCAAATTATATTACAAAATTCCTATTCATTATCCAAATTAAATATATTTTCATGAGATGAGAACATTACCCAATAAGGTCACCTAAAAATCAATCATATTATTGAACTTTTAAGATGATTGCTTTAATACACTATCTCAACAAGCAAAATTTACTAATAACTCAATATTTAATAAGAATGTAATTGATAAATTAAATAAGACATCTGCCAATAAAATGCCTCATATTTCTTAAGGTAAATCTTATTTCATGAATCCAAAAGAGTCAGATAATTTTTTCTTCAAATTCTAATTTTAGTCATTCACATAATTAAATGGAGTTGAAGTCCTGCAGTTGAAATACTCTTTAAATAGTAAGTTTCCCTATTTGATCACACATTGTAATCATAAAATAATAAAAGATAGTTTTTATATTCATATTTCTGAAAAATTACTTTGATGATAGCAATAGACCAACTATGTTCAGCCTCGGAGATACATTGGTCTTGCCATAAGTTCCAGGTTTAATCTTAAGCAAAGGTGCATACAAACAACTCCATTTAAGGGAGAATTATAAAGCTTTCATCTTACTATGGCTGTACTATAAGAGTAAATTTGCTGTGATAAAAATATTTATATTATTTTTTCTTTTCTTAAGAATATCATCGAAAATTCGTTTTCTAGATAAATAAAACAAGTATTATAAGCATCCTTTATAACTTCTATGTCTATAACTTTTTTTACCATAAAAGCAATGTCAAAATCTAATAGATTTACAATTTATTTTCAAATTATTAAGAATTAATAAGGCCTTAAAATCCTTGTTTCAAGAAAACATATGTGTGGTAAGGTAAATAATGAATTGTAGGAATTCCAATTGTAGAAAAATATATTTATTTGGGACTTATAATGAATAGGTAGGGGAATTTGTAGGATTACATAATGAAAATTAAGTAAAGGGTAAATTAAATTTTCAAAGAATTAAGATGGATTTCATAAAATATGGGATGTAAGGAGAGAATACATTTATTGGTTGCTTTTATAATGCCTCATTTTCAGTATTTTGCTGCAGCTCATTTTAATTAAATGAAGTTGCATCAACAGGAGATTAATAAATTATATAAAGGATCTTGAAAATCATTGATGAGGGTTCTTAAGTGTACATCTGATCTGATAAAAAATTAAATTGCTAATTCTTTTGATGATATATTTAATTATGGTTTATAATAGATCCAGTAAAGGATGATGGATATTGATGTAATAAATTAAAAAGTATGCAGCAAATTAAAAGGGAAACTGAAGAATTTACCTAGAAATTATGAGTAGTTATTGAATAAAGTAGGAATGTAATGTAAGAAACATTCATAAAGAGTTACATATTAACATTTGATAAAAAATCATTTAGATTAAAATTATAATACATTTAATAAAAAAATAACTAATGATTGGAAGAGCAAGAAATGGAGGAAGCAAATGGAAAAAAGAATTGAATAATTAAAAGATAATAATAACTTTGTAAAGATGGTATGATTTGATTATGATATATATTTTCTCTTCTTACATCAGGGTAGAATAATAATCATAATATAATGAAATTATTCAATATGAAATCAAATGAAATAATTCATTTTTTTAATTTAAACTCAATGCTTAATTGACATAAATTTTAGATAGAAAAATTAGAAATAATGATTTCAACAAGTCACATTTTGGATTCAAATTTCAATTAACTGTGATTAGAATGTTATTAAAAATAAATTTATAATTTCAAATTTCTTGGAATTAGTTATTCACCAATAATTCCACTTAAAAAATTAATAATTAAGTCTGTTTTTTCTTTTCAAATATTTTATTCTGCTTCAATTATTCTTTTCTTATATTAATCTATTTCTTGTAAGAATTAGCCTAAATTTTAGATCTCTAAAAAATTCTTCCTCACTTTTTAAATTCCAAAGGATGGGTTAAATGATTATATGATCCTTAATTTATATATTATCGTTACTTCATATCATCTTAAGATAGTAATGAAATACACTCTGGAATTGAATTTCTGAATAAAGAATGATTGGTTTGTAGGGGGTACAACAAATTAACATTCAATATTTATTTTGAAGGTGAACTTGGTTAAATATCAATGTTTACCAATCTATATTCCTTAAAAAGAGGCCCATAATTATTATGAACTTGCTTTACCTCGCAGCTATCCTATTTTGACCTCGGATTGCTTAATTCCAAAGACTATGTCTGTCATGACTTTGATAAGTAATCTGCTATTCTTACAGCACTTGTCCTTTTTGGGAATATAAAATCGTTTCAAAATGATTCCAAAATATGCATGTCCATAGGAGTGATTGCTGTATTAGCTTTTTAAAGGGTTACATACATTTTAAATTAAAAATAAAGTTTTTTTTTTTTAAATTCAGAATTAAAAGCACAAATTCAAATTTAATTACTTTAATACTCAACAAAAGATTAAATAATAACTGCATAATTATTAAAATTAGGATATTAATTTTGGATTATGAAATTCAAAATTTAAAATATATTGGGTTTTTGAAGTGAAAATTAAAATTAAATTATAAAAACTAAGTAGTTTGGAATATAATGATATAATGAACAAATAAATTATAAAAAAAGTTGAGGAGTTCTTGTTAAGACATTTTGTTGAAAGATTCTTGTGGAGAGGAATGTTAGGATTACCATATTTATTTCTAAATTACCTTATGTTAATTTAAAATCATGTTTAAACTACACACTTTTTAGAATAGGCTAAACTATTATGTTAAAGCCTATTGGATTAATTATAAGATAAGAAAATGATTAAAATAAAAAGATTAAATAAAAGTAACAAAAAAATGCACTGCTTTTTCAAAAACCAATGAAGATGCTTTAAAAATAAATAAATTATACGAAAAATGCAAATACAAAATATAACTATATTTATTCAATCATCCATATTAGAAATGTCAATATAAAACTTGAAGCAATTAAAGGATTGTTTAAAGATGAGTCGTTTTCATCTTAAGATTAGTTATTTATGGTTTAAAAATACTATTTAGATTGGTTAAATGAATATATGAAGTACTTTGTTTTTTAAATAATATCTATATTGATTTTCTTTAAGATTTAAGTTTAAACTTACAATGTCTCTCTTTCAAGTTTTCGAACATTAATTAAAGGACTTGGATATACATACAAGAATACACCTAAGATCAACTTCAAAGAAAACCTAAAAGAAAATAAAAGCAAATAATTCCTCTATACATTATCATTTTTGTATCACAATTTATAAATAAGTAATATAATTTAAAAGTATGGAACAAA